ATTCGTATTTTTATGACTGGCTTATTTCACGTAGCATAAGTTCTGAAGGTTCATTCATGTATGACAGAATTTCATTCCTTTTTAAAGCTGAGTAATATTCCATTGTATGGATATACCACATTAATTTATTTATTCATTCCTTGATGGACATTTAGGTTGCTTCCACTTCATGACTATTGTGAATAATGCTGCAATGAATATAGATGTGCAAATATCTCGTCAAGATCCTTTTTTCAAGTATTTTGTATATATACCAGCAAATGGGATTGCGGATCATATGGTAATTCTATTTTTAATTTTTTGAGCAGCTTGTATATTATTTTCCATATCAGCAAAACCATTTTACATTCCCACAAACAGTGCACAGAGTTCCAGTTTCTCCTCATCCTTGCCAGCACTTGTTATTTCTGTTTTTTTCTCTTTTTTATTTTTATTTTTTAGTGAGTCTACTAATGGGTGTGAGATTTTGATTTGCATCTCTCTGATGATTAATGATATTTACATGTGCTTGTTGACAATTTGTATTTATTCTTTGGAGAAATGTCTATTCAAGTCCTTTACCCATTTAAAAAAATCAGGTTATTTTGTTTGTTGTGGCTGGGTTATAAGATTTCTTTGTATAATCTGGATATTTACTCCTTATCAGATACGTGTGGTTTGCAGATGTTTTCTCCCATTATGCGGGTTGCCCTTCCACTCTTTTCTTCGCTGCACAGAAGTTTTTAAGTTTGATGCAGTCACATTTGAAGTTTTTTGCTCCTTATAGTGTCATATCCAGAGAAATCATTGCCAAATCCGATGTCCTGAAGCTTTTATCTTATGTTTTCTTCCAGGAATTTTATAGTTTTAGACCTTATGTTTAGTTCTGTAACCTATTTTGAGTTAATTTTTGTATATGGTTTAAGATAAGGGTCTAACTTCATTCTTTTGCATGTGAATATCCAACTTTCCAGACATCATTTGTTGAAAAGATAGTCCTTTCCCCAGTGTATGGTTTTGGTACCCTTGTCGAAGATCACTTGGTTTTCTATGCCACGCTGCATTTATGGGCTCTCAGTTCTGTTCCATTGGGGTCTATATGTCTGTCTTTATGCTGGTACCACATTGTCTTAGCTTCTGTTATTTTGTAGTATGTTTTGAAATCAGGAAGTGTGGGGCTTCCAACTTCATTCTTTTTCAAGATTGTTTTGACTGTTTGGGATCCCTTGAGATTCCTTATGAATTTTAGGATTTTTAAAAATTTCTGCAAAAATATGCCATTGGGATTTTGAAAGGAATTGCTTTGAATCTGTAGATCACTTTGGGCAGTATGGGAATTCTAACAATAATAAGTCATCCAATCCATAAACGCAAGATGTCTTTCCATTTATTTGTATCTTCTTTGATTTCTTTTAGCAATAGTATTTTGTAGTTCTCAGTGTACAAGTCTTTCACCAAGCTCCCCCCACCCCATTTGGTTAAGTTTTTTTTCTTAAATATTTTATTATTTTTGATACTATTGTAAATGGGGTTATTTTCCTAATTTCTCTTTCAAGTTTTTCATTGTAAGTGTATAGAAACACAACTGATTTTTGAGTGTTGATTTTGTATCCTGCAACTTTGCTGAAATCATTTATTAGTTTCAACAGGTTTTTTTCCCCCTGTGGAATGTTTAGGGTTATTTAGATATAAGAGCAGGCCATCTGAGAACAGAGATAATATACTTCTTCCTTTCCAGTTTAGATGATGCCCTGCCTAGGACTTCCAGTACTATGTTGAATAATGGTGTCAAAGGTGGGTAATCTTGCTTTGCTCTTGATCTTAGAGGAAAACTTTTCCATCTTTCACAATTGAGTATGATCTTAGCTGTGGGTTTTTTTATATGGATTTTAGTATGTTGAAGCATTTTTCTTCCATTCCTAATATATTGAATTTTTTTTTAATATCATGAAAGGGTGTTGAAATTTATCAAGCTTTTTCTGCATCAGTTGAGATGATCATATGGGTTTTGTCCTTTATTCTGCTATGATGTGGTCTATTACATTTAATGATTTTCATATGTTGAACAACCCTTGCATTCCAAGTATGAATTCCACTTGCTCAATAGTGTGTAATCCTCTTAAAGTGCTGTTGAATTCAGTTTGGTAGTATTTCTATATTTTTGTTGCTGCTGCTGCTTCTTCTCCTCCTCCTTCTTCCTCATCTTCCTCATCTTCCTCTCCCTCTCCTTCTCCTCCTTCCCCTTCCTCTCTTCCTTTCCCTTCCCCTTCCTCTTCTCCTTCTTCTCCTTCTTCTCCTTCTTCTCCTTCTTCTTCTTCTTCTTCTTCTTCTTCTTCTTCTTCTTCTTCTTCTTCTTCTTCTTCTTCTTCTTCTTCTTCTTCTTCTTCTTCCTCTTCTTCTTCTTCTTCCTCCTCTTCTTCTTCTTCTCCTCCTCCTCCTTCCTCTTTTTCTTATTCTTCTTATCTCTTTTTTTTGTTTGTTCAGAGAATATAACCTATATTATTCTAGTTCTTTGAAGTTTATTGAAACTTGTTTTAGGTCCCAGAAGGTGTTCCTTCTTGGTGAATGTTCTGTGTGAACTAGAAGAAAAAAATGTGTATTCTATAGCTGTTTTCTGAACTACTCTGTAAATGACAATTAGGTCTACTCAGCTGTTGGTGCTGTTAAAATTTTCTTTGGTTTCATTCATTTTTGCTTGCTTATTTTGTCCATTTCTGAGAGTTGTGTATTAAAATTTCCAACTATCATTGTGATTTTGTCTATTTTTTCCTATTAGTACTCTCAGTTTTTACTTCTGAATATTTACTTATTTAAATAGCATTCTATTCATATTTTGTGGACTCATGTCTTATCTCTCTGATCGCATTAACTATTTCTCTTTTAGTTTTCTTCAGCATCCCACATTATAGCTTTCCTTTTAATAATTTTTCTTCTGATTTATACTTTTTTTTCCAATGTGTTTCATATTAGATACTCTTTTCCAAGGTCTCGACTCTTCATATGGAAAAGTGAGGCACAAAAATGCTGGTTGGAACTTGTGTGTTTATGGGTGGGACCTTACTGGAGCATGACAGAATGAGGATCAGCCTCTTCTGTTGGGGACCAGCACATGCCACTATTTGTGGCAGAATTGCTCTGCTGTCTTGGTTTAGAGTTATGATTCTATCTCCCAGGAACCAAGTGTTTAAGAGGGGCTGGAATTCTAAAAATTTGAAATGAAACTTTCATTTAAACCCTGTTTTTTAGCACAGCACACTCTCAGCAGTATCTTGTATTTGTTTTCCATATTGTAAATATTTTCTGTAGCAATAGTCTTTGGATGGCCACCGGGGAAAGGGAGGGAGGGAGAGATGTTGATTATAACTTGTAATGACCATCAGTGAATCCCCTTTTCACGAGAGTCCCTTTACCAGTATTTAAGGATAACTAGTGTACCCCAATTTTTGAGATTTTACTAGACTTTTGTGTATGGGTAACCTAGTCTTTTTTTTTTTTTTTTTTTGCTGAATTTCCTCTGAGCAAGCTTGCATTTTTGTTTTTTCTATTTTGTTAACTCAGTTACTATTTTTCCATTTAATTTACCTCATCTGAAATTTTGACATTCTTCTTCTTCTATCATATTTTCTTCTTTCTGTTCCCTTTATCCTATGTTCTTGCCTTTTCAATTCCTTTTTTGTCATTATAGTGGAGTTTCCAGAAGGATCAAAGGTAAGTTCCTATTTAGCCATATTTTAGTTAGAAGTCTTATTGCAGTGGGTACATACATTTTACATTTTACTAAACATTGTGAAATTGCTTTTCAAAGTGAGGCACTGTTTCGTGTTTGTTTTAGGTTGGTCTCAGCCTATCAATAGTGATGCTATGGGCAGTGATGGCTGAGGGCACTCATCTGGGCTACCTGTGGTGAGCCACACAGACATCTCCCCAGGTGAAGCCGATGTAGGTGCTGGACCAGCCCTTGTGGTTCTTATTATGAGAGACAGCTCAGCAATAACTATCAGGGGACATTGAAAAAACAAGGTTCATTACTCACACATCCTGGGGGGTATTGGTCATGCCCTGGACCACTTGGTGAGGCCCCAGGTAGGTAGCGACAGAGAATGTGTGGCTCTCTTTGCCCTTATTGGGGTTGACGGTTGGGTGCTTTGGGGTTTTCATTCTTTACTGGCAAAATTAAAACCGAAGGGCGGGAGTTAAAGCACAGGAAGAGAAAAGCAAGCAGTCGGTCTAACAGTCAGTTATCTAGGTCAACCAGAGCTTTCCAAAAAGGGAAACTCATGGGCAGCGGGCAGTCTGGCTCTTTGTCTAGTTGTGTAGATGGCTAGGTGTCCCCCCACCCCCAGATGGACGTCTTTGAAGTGGAAGCCTCAGCCATCAGAAGCTTAACATCAGGCACTTGCATTACAGTCAAAAAGCTAATTGTCAGGCACCTATGCTACAGTGTTCCGAGTAAGAGTTGAAACTTCCCCAGAACTACTTAATCACCTGTCCTTTCCCCAGGGAAGCTGCCTCTGCCGTGTTCACTCATCCGTTCAACAGGTGGTCACTGCTTCGCTGGTGACAAGAATGACCTAGGATTCCCTTAAGATAAGCATGCTCAGAAATAGACTGACAACGGTTTTGTAATTCTAAGACTTGCTGTGTAGGGCCGTCCTTCAATTCCCTGCCTGGACATCTCCCTGGGCAGCTTCCCTGACTACACCCTCCCCCGACACATCCACGTCTGCCTACCAACACAGTGGTGGTGCCAGGAGAGAACTGCCAAATCTGTTATTCTGCGTTGCATAATTTTAATTATATGTGGATCTTGCCAGCCCGGCTCTTAGCCCTCTATCACAGGGATTAGGTCTTTTTCGTCTTTATCCCCTAAATCTAGCACGTGCTAGTGTCTTATGTCATCTGTCAAAAATTGTTCCAGAAATTTTGTTATAAATTTACCCCAAATATGATTTCAAAGGGGCTTTAGACACAATTGTGCATGAATCAAACAAAATTAAACCATATTTTCAATTTATTTTAATACTCAGAAATATTATGACATTTAATTACATGTTGGCTTTCATTTAAATTAGTACAGCATGGAATGTTTAAAAAAAGTTAACACAGTTCACTAGAACAATAATACTCAGGGTAGAAAGTAGATACACAAATATAATGCTAATCATGTATTATATAGATGTCCTTACACAAAAGTGTGTCTGCGTACACACACATGGCAATGCACTACATTTGACAATGGGCTGAAATTTGATTTCTCTGCAGTAATTTGAACAGAAGATTTAATTGATTTCAGCTATGATGTGGGTACTTAAGCAAGCCACACCACATCGTCCCCCCACACCTCAAGAGAGGCGGTTTTCCATTAAGTGAATTTGGGAAAATTTTTAATTTTCTGGCTCAAAATTTTTTAAAGCCAATTCAACTGAGCTTTGTCAAAATATCTAAATGTTGGCTCCACTCACAAGCACTCAGCGGTAAGTGTTGAGGAAACACAGCAAAGGGATGGGGAACCAGTGTAGATTATCTTACTTATTGTACACTTATTTGTTGTCTGTTTCTCCCGCTTAATTCACTGCTATTATCCCAATATCTATTATTCCAATGCCTAGTAATGAATAGATATGCAATATACAAACGAGTGCTTATAGTAAGATATTATTAAATATGAGGGAGATATAAATTGATTCAGAATGGATCATGTAGTCAAAAAGAAGTACCTTGAATGAATAGAATGCTATAATCAGAAAAAGCTAAAATTCCGTTACTGTATTGAGGCTATGTATCAAGTGACTCTTTTCAACTAACAATGAAATAATGGCTGAAAAAGGACTAAAGCCCTTTGGAATCTGGGCAGGCCAAGCCCAAATCACTGAACTTCCAATTACGGATCTGATGACCATCTAGACACTGAGTAGGAGAACTGCGTATGAAGACCTTGGTTCCTGCCGCAAGTATGTCAGGGAGGCATAGTTTCCACAATTACAAAACGCCTTAAGAATATCTGCCCCGCCTTCTTTACAGAACTGTTGAAAGAGTCAAGTACAACTGAAATTTAAACACTCTTACTCTTTTGTCATCTCTTACAAGCAAAATGTCCTTGTTACAGTCAACACTGAAAACCAGCAAGTCACTGTGGCAGGCACAGAGGTGGGCCACCTGGATCTCCCTTCAAAGAACTTGCTGATCGTCATGTAAGCTGACAGCCTTCCTCTGTGGTCCCTTCCAGATCCGCCAGAGCACGTGAAGGTCACGTGTGCCTGGGCAGCCTCTGGCAATGACTTAGCATGGTGGTGCCCTAGGACCCGGCCATTTCTGCACAACAGGGGGCTCTCTCTTCTGTGAGTGGTCTTTGCTCTGGATCTTACCACTGGGCTGGTCAGGACTCCCAGAGCCGCAGCTCAGTCTGATGCTTTTCCTGCTCCTTCCTCTCTCCTTCCCTCTTCCTCTCACAGATGCCACACCTACATCGCAGCCAGAAGGCTCTCCCTGCCTCCCCCTGCTTCTTCTTGCCTTTGTCTTTCTTAGGCGTTGCCTCCAATCAGCGTTGGCACTTCTAACTCCTGTCTTGGCATCTGAGTTCCAGAAGACGCGACTAACGTGGTCCCTCAAATCCCAGTCCCCTAAAGCCACCCGGTCTTCTTTCCAGAGATTTCCACATGTATAAGCTTGTGGGCATTTTATTCAAGATAGTGGAGCTCGACTTCTTTTTCCTTTTAGCATCATGTCACACATTTACGAACAAGAGGTGGTAAAGCATTTTTAAAAAGCTCATAAAATGCTCACTGCCTCCTGATGTCCACCTCCTTTAGCAGCAGCAAGGTTGACTTCTTGAGAACACAGCACTGAATGGCACGGCTCCAGGGAGGAAGTGAATCAGAGTTACCCGTAATCCTTCAGTAGCTTTTTAGGGTCAGGGTCAGATTCTCCCTGCAGATGAGCCCGTGTCCTCTCTGCAGAGTCTGCTTCCATACTGGCCTGGATTTGCCGAAGTCCAGCTGAGAGTGATCAGCCACCATGCTGCCTTCAGCTCTGGGCTATCTGCTTCTCAGTTAGCCACGCTCCAGTTTAGACACTCCTGTCTCTTGGTTCCTGTGTTTACCCGCACAAGTGCGCTCACCCACACAGGTGTGCTCTAAGCTAGGCTCCATTGGGTATTAAGAGTCCCAACTTGATTCTTCATCAGATGCTCCCAACCTCACTCAGAGGCACCACTTCACAGCGACCTCGTGAAGGAGCCAGCCTGCGCCCAAGCTGGCTGGTAGGTGCTAAGAGCTCCTTTAAATAGGAGAGACTCTGGGTATCATCTGCATTGTTTTCGCTGATATCTCTTGCCTTCTAATTTCTTTCTTTGTTTTTGTTTCTGTGCTAAAGCTACAGTTACATAAACATTCCATACATGTCACCTGTAGGCTTTGGAAACATCTGACGTCACTGTGTATGTACTATCAATTTCAATCAGAACCCCCACCTGCTCTAGAAAAACCAACTTATCCCACTACAAGAGTTTATTTATTTCTGTATTTTAGCATGAGTAAATCTGCATTTTCAAATTGTTTCTCCCTCTCCCTTTTAAACTTAGCTTTTCAACTTGGTAAATTTCTGTAGAGCAGAGAATGTACCTGGGAAGGTTTGCTTGGACGAAACTAGGCAAAGTGGATAAAAATCTGGGCTCTCTTCTTGTACTGAGTAAGGTCAGTAATGTCTTTGAGCCTTTGTTTCCTCATCTGTGTTATAAAACAGGAATAAAATGCAATCCTCTTAGCTTTGAGAGGGAACAATATCGTGATGTGTGCAACGTTCCTGCGAATACTAGCACTAATCTGAGGGCAGTTCTTTTCTTTTGAATCGAAGTCTACAACTAGAATTTTTAACAAATTATGCTTTCACTCAGACTTAACCTTCCTCCTTTAATATGAATTTGTTAATTCCACTCGGCCTGAAGCGACTGTAGACAGAGCGGGCTGGAGATGGTCCTCGCGCCATTTCACACCACAGTAAAAGCATTTCTGATTTTCTGATTTCTCTCCTCAACTGATATTCACAAGTGATCTGTTTTTCCATATCACATCCTTCCCTAGAACTGAATTTCCAGAATTACAAATAAAATCAGGCTAACATTCACCAACATCTTTAGTATAAGGGACCATGAAAACACTGTCAACTCGCAAGTCCAAACAGTTCCGGAATAAAGGCAACACTAGGTCCTAAAAAGACCATGGATTTGGGACCTTCCCCTGGACCTGTCGTATGCTCGGTGCAAACATTTAAGCAATAGTTTCTTGTAGCCGTTGCTGCTCATCTGTAACACGAACGTGTTTTTTTCTTTAGAAGATATTTTTCAAAAGCTAGTTTTTATTTTTGAGTCTTATAAATATTTCTCCTGGGGTTAGAGCCTTCAAAACCATGATTGATTTTCCAGTTTCCATGACAGAATGTTTTTCTTTTTTGTAAAGTCAAAGAAGTAATCTCTTGAAGCCACAGAAAATAATCTTTTGAAATAAATGAAAAAATGATAGAGGCATTGGATCCACTAAACTGAAGATGAAACAAAGACCAGGCTACTAAGGTGAGAAGTGTCTGTTGAGGGGCAGTGGCTGAGTCAGGTAGCACTGTTCCCTGTGGGTCCCAGTTTTATCTTTCCCGTCGATCAGTATAATAGGAAAATACTTGTAGTGTTCGATGATGTCTTCCACCGAATCAAACTTCTGAAACACACAAGAGAAAGCTAATGAAAATTTAGGTATCTCTGTGTCTGTAGGTTAAAGGACAGCCTAAGGTGCTTCAGTTTATTTAGGGAAGAGTTTAACTCATTTAACATTTCTTGGGATTGTAAAGGTGTATTAGAAAGTGATTTTTTTTTTTTAAAGAAGGATGTGGCAAAGAAGCTCTTGAAGGATCAGTGATGAGATTGGTAAGATAACGAAGACCACCAAGAGCCCACCCCCGCAGTTCTTGAAGCTTCCCACCCACGGAGTGTTCACCAGCATCAGGTCACACCGGTCCAGCTCCTCAGCCACAGAGACTCCCTGCTGCCACCCTTACCTTGCCCCCAGCTCTGACAAACTAAAGCGTAGAAGCTCAAGGCTTGACCTTCACCTTGTAAACTGGTGGGAAAGGCCTGCAGTGATCTCTCCCTCCTGGAAACCCTTCTTGTTCTAACGAATTCTAGGTAATCAGAAGGGATGCTGATGACTGCAGGCTGCCGGCAGTTCTTAGCCAAGTGATAAAGCTTCCTTCCCTGGCCTTCCTGTGAAATCACGAGGTGGCGCAGATCATGACACTTTTATGTTTCCGGAGACGAATAGACAAAGCGCTGTGGTGACTGAATGGAAAGGAAGATGGTTTCCAGTGTGGGGGGTGATCAGGAAGTGCTTTGTGGAAGAGACAGACTTGAAATGGGCTACACCCTGGGGGCGAGTCTAGGTAAGTGGGCAAGTTGGGCATAAAGATACCAAAGAAAGCACAGGAAGATGCAGGTGCAAAGACAGGTGCTGGGAGCACGTGGGCACAGACAGCAATTCTGATTGGCCGGGTTTGGCTGAGCTCCTGAAAGGGGCTGTTGGGAGATAATCGGGAAGACTTTGCACAACCTGTCTTTTCTAACTCAGCACATTCACAGCGAGGCAAGCAGGATGCAGGAAATGACGTTCCCTGAAGGGCCCAGGGACCTGCAGCTCAGATGTGGGGACTGCCCTGCTCAGAGCCCATGGGCAGGACCAGGAGTGCAATCTGGTTTTTTTCTGGATGCACATCAGTTCTTTCCTTAATGCAACGTTGCCTATGGCCTGTGAGCGGATGATGCAGCTTGAAGGGAGGAGCAGCGCTGGGACGACTTGGCTTCTCTTTAGTTTTGTGCACTCTCTCTCTGCCCAGCACATCCCGGCACGGGAGTTTTGCAGGATATTCGACAGGGAACGAGATCGCCAAGGTCCCTGTCCTCAGGGAGAGTGGTGCATTGCATTCAGGTGGGAGCAGACAGAAAATAATCCCCTATACAAGTAGATAATATCATTTAGGGACAATGTGCTGTGGAAATAATCAACCCGGGGCTCGAGACCCTTGCCAGGCCTCCCAGGGGGCCTCCCCTGACATCAACTGGTCCCTGGATTCCTCCACCCTGTTCTTCCTGGGCACTGAGTCAACAAAACTCCCCCTTTCCCCCTAAGCCCCTTGAGTGGGGGTTGTCTTTTCACACGAAAAGAGTTCCAATTAAACCTGTAGGTGACTTGCCCCACTGAGCCCGTTACCGGATCTGTGGCAGACCTTTCAATGAAATACCCTATCTGGTACCCAGTGGGTGCACAACCGATGCCGGCCCCTACCTGATGCTGAGGTAAGCTGGCTTCCCCGTTGTCCAACGAGGACAGCGGTTGTTCTGTAAGTGAAAGGCTGCGAAGCCCAAATGCTGCGTTCCGGGCGGGACTCTCCCACCACTAGCTGTGCATCCCGGGGCAGGCTTCTTGCACTCTCTGTCTCAGTTTATCTATGAACAGTGGTAGTAATACTAGGACCTACTTCTGAGGCCACTGTGAGAATTAACTGAGTTGACACTTACGCAGCATTTAGGAGAGAGCTTTGTATACAGTGAGTGCTCAGTAAATGTCAGTCATTGCCATGACCTCCTCCCTTCCAAGTTTGCCAAGAACATGAAGGACCCAGGAAATCACCAGAGAGGTCCATAGACTCCGCCTGCAAGCCTTTAGGAAGGAAGGACATTTCTGTATTTCATTTCCAGTCATAAACGAAGGACAGAGCTTTTTTCTCTTTCTTCAGACTTGATAAAACAGAAAGTGATTTACAGAAGGAAACTTTCCATGCAGGACTCTTCAACAAAATGGGTGACCCCCCGTGGCCCAGAGGAAGTCCTCCTTCCTGGGACTAATCTTCAGAGGGAGAATGCTTGCTTTGTGTTCTTATCCCTGGTTTCTTTAGGAAGGTCCCAAAGTAATGAATTCAATACTAATTGTTTTATTATCTCCTACATGGATGGTGTTTTATAAGAAATCATGGTTTTAACAAGTAGTGCGAAGAAAGCAAGGCAGAAGCAATAAGTCATTCTGTCATTTCTTATTATTGACTTCTCGTGATAGGCCAACAACTGATGTATTACCCTAAAGATAATTTTTAAAAAGATTATAATTAGGCTCCTTCCTTCTCTCCCCCCATTTTAAATTGAAGTATAGTTGATTTACAATGTTGTGTTAGTTTCTGGCGCACAGCATAGTGATTCAGTTTTATATTTACATATTCTTTTTCAGATTATTTTCCATTATAGCTTATTACAAGCACTGAATGCAATTTCCTTGTTGTTTATCTGTTTTATATACGGTAGTTTGTATATGCTAATCCCAAACTCCTAATTTATTCCTCCCTACTCTTTCCCCTTTGGTAAGTTTGTTTTCTATGTCTGTGAGTCTGCTTCTGTTTTGTAAACAAGTTCATTTGTGTTATTTTTTTTAAGATCCCACATATAAGTGATATTATATGGTATTTGTCCTCTGTCTGTATTACTTCACTTAGTATAATAATCTCTAGGCCAAACCATGTTGCTGCAAATGGCATTATTTCATTCTTTTTATGGCTGAGTTATATTTCACTGTATCTATCTATCTATCTATCTATCTATCTATCTCACTCACAACTTCTTTATCCAGTCATCTGTTGATGGACATTTAGGTTGCTTCCATGTCTTGGCTACTGTAAATAGTGTTAAGCTCTTATTTTTATATTAATTTTTTTCAGGAGGATAGCAAATGCTATCCTAATATTAGATCTTAAAATTTGTTTAAGCCTTTTGTGATTGCTCTAACTACCAACTGTAGGCAATGTTTCACCACCAGAAAGATAACCAAGTCTGTTTGGGTACCCACATGGGAGTGAAAGAAGAAAATACAGAAAAAGAGAGAGATGCAGAGAAGGGGGAAGAGAGAAGCAGATGGAGAAGTGAGAAATAAACTGGTTACTTGCCTGTCTCCTAGTATTTAAAGTTTAATTTATCAAGCTTAAGTTTCAGCAACTTATCACAAATATTTGCAGGACAAGGAGAGGTCTGATTGAAATTGCTCCCTTCTATGAGCCTTCACAGAAACGCTGATACATGTGATTGCTAGAACTTGGCAGCAGGTGGCGCTGTGCAGGTTATTAACCGGCAGGTGTTTCTCTGGCTGGTCCGGGTCCAGAGCTCCACCAGGTGCTAAATATTCCCAGCCGCACCTCCGCTATGTGCAGGCGCAGAGGGGCAGAGACAAACAAGGGGTCCCCTGGGTGGCAGGGACTCTGCCTGACTCTGCTCTGTGCCCCCAGGATGGAACATTAAATCCAGTATAATGTGGTATAAAATTAATGCTTGGCCAAAAACCTAGCAAATGAGAGATGTGGGCTGAATGGTGACCCCTAAAAGATACGCTGTGTCCTAGTTCCTGGAATCTGTGAATATTACCTTCTAAGCCAAAGAGTGAATACTGCTTTACACAACAGAAGTTGGGATTAAGTTTAGGGTCTTGAGAGGAGCGTTTTGAGAGAGGGGCTTTTCCTAGGCTATCCCTTGAGGCAATCACAGGCATCCTCGTAAGACAGAAGAAGCAGAGGGAGATTCACTCAGAGAAGAGGAGGAGGCAGCATGACCTCGGAGGCAGAAAGCAGAGTGATGTGGCCGCAAGCCAGGGAAGACAAGCTGGACTGCCGGCAGCCACCAGAAGCTGGAAGAGGCAGGGAGGGTCTCCCCCAGAGCCTGCAGAAGAAGGTGGCCCTGCCAAGACCTTGATTTCAGATTTCAAGCCTACAGAACTTCAAAAGAATACCTGGTGGTGGTTTTAACCTGCCAAGTTTGTGGTACTTTTTACAAGCAGCCACAGGAAACTAACACACTGAAGGCTCTCTACATCTAAATTCAGTTCTAGCCCATGGCGAACAGAATGACCTAGATTTACAACGTGCAGCGAACTGGACCTTCCCAGGATCATTCTTTGCAGGGACAGGTGGATTTGCTTGCCTTCTGTGTTTGTGAGAGGTGGCCGCGTGCTGTACCTCCCCTGGGGCCCCGTCCAGGCTTCTCCTGCAACTCTCATGGCCCCGTGCGAGCTTTTCCTCATTCATGTCCAGGGCACACAGGCCCAGGGAAAGGGCGTTAGTGAATCATTTAAGATGGAAACTGATACTTAGTAAGCACCTGCTGTCACCTGTCTGGCACTCTATTCACATCATCTCATCTTCCACGCAAAACAACTGCCTTGGAATAGGTGTCACTGCACTGCACATGTGGTTAAATTCTCAAGTTTGCAAGACAGCCAAAAAGCCACCCGAGATCAAAGTTATCTTTGAAGACCCTGTGTCTCATTGCATTTCCCCTGCAGAGTCAGACTAAGATGCGAGTTCTTTATTCAAGCACCAGATGCAGCAGCCAGTAGCTGGCTTGCACTTGGCAGAGACTTGCTGTATCAAGTTCTATCTTTTAAAAAAGTTTTTTTAAAGACCGGAGATTCTTCCTCAGCAAGGCAAAGGGCTGGAACTGTGGAAGGTGCGAGGGAACTGAGAGCAACGCTGGATCGTCCCCTCTCACACCAGGGCACGGTCGCTCAGAGGAGGGGCAGGAAGGGGCCCCTGTCCAGTGTGATTTTTCGCCCAGCACCTGGCACACGGTAAGCTCCATGTAAGTGTTAACTAGTTTTCAACCACAGTTCTGGGCTGCTTTCAAGTGGGCTAGGGGTCGTTCACATTTGGTCATGATTTTATCTCAGACTGTATGAGAAAGTCAGTATTTCTGCAGACTGTATTGAACCCTAGCTTTGCCACCTACTAGCTGTGATTGTGGGCGGTTTATTTTGCATTTCTGTGCCTCAGTGTCACCGGCTGTTTACTGGAGCATCTGCCTCACAGGGTTGCTATGAGGATTAAATCGGTCAAGTTAATTGATTATTGTCAACTGCACAGAAAAGTGCCTGGGCGTAATAAATGTATGTACGTGTTAAATCGATATATGGAAAGGAAACTTGCCTGAGGGACGCACAAGAGGAGAAAATTCTGTCACAACATGAAAAGGGTCCTCTTAAAATAGACATCTGAATTCTTAAGGGGTCCTTGGTGACAGTAATTAGAGCAGCTCACCTGGAGGCGGAGGGTCTATCCACGGGCTGTCATGGGGACAGCTGTTTACCTGCTGAGGCTGACAGCGAACCTGCTGACAGCCCATGAAACGCTGTTAGGAAGTTATCACAGGTCGCTCTTTCCTCTCTTTTATGAGCAGAGCAAAGCGTGGCTGGACGGGAAAGAAGCTGCAACCTCTTTAGATCTCGGTTTCCTCACTGATAAAAGGGTTCAGTAACACGTCTCCAGTGTGTTTTCAAGGACCAAATGAGAGAGCAAATTAAACAGCGCATACCAGGGCTTGTGGTTTCCATTTACCGAATTCTCTAAGGAAAAGAATCCTTCATCCCGAGCACTTAGAAGTCATGTAAAGCTTTAAAAAAAAAAAACGAGAATTCTATGAACCTGGAGGAAGATTCAGAAGGATAAAGGGAAACTGAGCTGGAAATTCCATTAACCACAGGTATCTGGGTCTGCGGGGAACTCTGCCCTAATTATTACCATGACGCCATCTGAATAATGAAAAAATAACCACTCACACCGATCGAGGTGTTCCAGGCAGTGTTCTGAGTGTTTTACATCCATTAAGTCACCAATCCTTATCACAAAAGGAACAATCGGCCGCTTCTCTTTTTAGTTTTGCTGTCACCCTGTTTTAGTGTGGCTACAATTGGCAGGTTTATGTGTTAATCTATTTGTTCACTCATCTTCTCATTTATGCCAAAACTTTCTGAGGTTGTAGCGAAGGTGGGTGAACTGACCGCATGGTACCCTGGCTGGTGCTGACCAAGCCCTCCAGCCACGTGTGGTTCTCAGAAAAGGGCTCTGGGCCAGACGCTGGGGTTGAGCGGGCATCCTCACGCACGTGCCTACCTGGAGCATTTTGGCAGCCCTGGCAATATGCCTTGTCTGGATATCTACTGAAGAACAATAGATGTTCTGTAGAAGTTCTGGTTTCACACCGTACCAGTTTTCCGGGGGCTCCATAACAAAGCACCACCGACTGCGGTGTAGGCGGGAGGGGGCTTCAATGACAGAAATTGATTTTCTCACAGTTTGGAGGCCAGGAGCCCAAGATCAAGGTGTCGGTAGTGATGGTTTCTTCTGAGGCCTCTCTCCCTGGAGTGTAGACGGCCATTTCTCCCTGTGACTTCACATCTGTGTGTGTCTGTGTCCTGATCTCCTCTTCTTGGAAGGACACCAGTCATACTGGATCAGAGTCCACCCACATGACCTCATTTCACTGTAGGTACCTCGTTAAAAACCCTGTCTCCAAGTATAGTCACACTCCGAGGTGCCGGGGCTGGAATTTTCACATAGAAATTTGGGGGGGACACAATTCAGCCCATAATAAATACCAGTGGACACAGCTGAGTGCTGGAGATGCTAAATGAGAATCACTGAATTATAGAAATCCAGGCTTGAAGAGAATATTTACACTTGGAGAAACTCAAACCCAGAGAAGGTAAGTGACTGGCCTGGGCTCACATGCTTAGTAAATGGAGACAGATTTTGTACCCTGCCCCTTCCTTCCTTCCTTCCTTCCTTCCTTCCTTCCTTCCTTCCTTCCTTCCTTCCTTCCTTCCTTCCTCTCTTCCTCCTTCCTCCCTTCCTTCCTAGAAGAGTTAAGAGAGCAGCCTCGCCTTGCCCTCTCACTCCCTGTGCGTCTCTAGCCATTTACTGAATTCTCTAAGTCTCAGTCTCCCTATGTCTATGATAGGAATGACCGCTCTATCAAAGAGCTGTTGAGGGTTAAACTAAGGTAATGCAGATAGACCAGGCCTGGCATCAGCTCAGTGGCAATCCATCTCCTTCCCCCAGTCTCTTTGATTTATTTATAGAGTTATTAGTGAGTGATTTAACTGACTCATGCTTGCAGCCAGCTGCCTATCAGCAGACGTGTCCCGAGGACGGGCATCTGTGACTGAGCTCGCATGCACTGTAGGGACGCACACCTACTGATTCCCAGTGCTAACAGGTGTCATCAGAAGTGGCGGCAGAGGGACTTCAGTGCTGCGGTGGGGAAGGAGTGTGGCCTTAACAGGGGGTTCGGCCGATGCTTCATGGCAGACAGGATTTAGATGTGCCTTACAGAACGAACAAAGCAGGACAGAGGGTGCATGGAAGGGTCCGGACTGGCTGCAGGTCCAGTGAGCTGAAGTGTAAGACGTGGGCGGGGATGCTTGTGGAAGGGGCTGGAAGGATTCGATTACATTCTCCACCTCCAGGGCGGCGTTCCTTCCTCCAACCCTGGGGAGTCCTGGGATATGGAGGTGACCTGGCCACACATCCCCCAAGTCTCCCCTTATTGTTGTCGTTAGCCTGGAAAAGGGAAGCCATGCAGTTAGACCCACCTCGTCTCCTCTGAGTCCTGTCCCCAGGGCAAACTGCTGATTCCTCTCCAGGAAGCGGATTTTCACGTTGTAGACTTTGTTCCCATAAAACACCACCAACACGTAGGGTTCTGCCCTGGATTTTGTGGAACAGTCTCGGACCAAGAAAGTGCCGTCCTGAAGTAAAAAGAAGAACAATGATCTTTGCAGTCATCCCAGTGTCCCGCCCTCCCCCCCTGGGCGGCAGTGAAGCTTGTGTGTGATTCCCAAATGGCTTTAGTTTTTGGCAAACCAGATCTTTGTACAATTTAATTTAGTAAGTATTTATCAAGGGTTAGCGTGTATAAGGGGTCTTGTTACTTTCTGAGAAGTGCACCCCCTTCTTGCAAATCCTCATGTTATGGAAATGACAGGCCAGCCAAGAAATAAGCACCACTCGGAGGGTTGGAGTACTCAGATTTATTACGCCGGCGGGCTCAGAGGGGCTTCTGCTCCGAAGCTCTGAGCACCTCCAAGACGTGCGCGTGAGGTTTTATAGGGTTAATTACAAGTATGGGGCTATTAGCCAATAAGGTTCAAACAACAAAAAGCAAGGAATCAGTATATTGGAGCTTATCAATTTGGAACAGATCACGTTACTGACACTTGTTGAGCTTGGATTTACGAGTTAGCTTGTTAGCCCAGTAAACTGACACTAAACTTTAGATTTACAAGTTAGCCCGGCAGAACTTATATCAGTAAACCGACACTTACCACACTTAGATTTGTGACTGAGCTCGTTAGCCCAATAGACTGACACTAAACTTCAGATTTACGAGTTAGCCCAGCAGAACTCAGATCAGTAATCCGACACTTGTTATCCTTAGATTTGTGACTTAGCTTGTTAGCCCAGCTGGGCTTTTCCTTCACACTCTGACGTCCCCTCCTGTCTTCAGCATCATACCTACAAACTTGGTCCATGGAGAAATGCACCAGCCTCTCCTGCGGTTTATCTCTCATCACTCCTTCAGTCTCCAGCCCCTGGATGGTGGCGCCAGTCAAGCCACCATTTCTCAAAGGCACCATCTTGCTTTTGGGCTCCCAGCTTTTGCATGGAGTAGCTCTCTCCTCCCCTCCCTGGGTGTGCTTCCCTTCACCAGCCAGTGGTCACATATTTCCTGTTCTGTGGATGCTCAGGTTATCGTTCTAGAGATACTGGGAGCCACTGCAGGCTTTGAGCAGGAGAAGCTTTGAGCGTTATAAATTGGTCCTCTGCGTGGGGAGATGTCAATATAGGACTAGGATCCCCCAAAGAGATGTGGGGCTTCAAAGTCCTTGGTATCAAAACTTACAGGGGAGAAGAAAATGCAGCCTGGGGCAAGGTGCAGGGAGTGCTGAGCAGGGAAGGGGAGAGGGAAGGAGTCGAAGGAGACATCTCAGCGGTATGGAAATCCAGAAGCTTCAGCATCACAGAAGCTGAGGGGCGGACAGCCAGGGTTTCCAAAAGAAAGTCAACAGTGTGAAATGATCTGGGGGCTGCAAATAGGTAGACTCTAACTATAGTATCAAGTAATAAGGCATTCCCTGTGGGGTAGCTGAGGATGAAGGTCTGGTTGTAAAAGGCTAAGAAGTGGAGCGGTTCTCCTGAACATAAACACACACACATGGCGTAGTTCTGTGGTTACGTCACGTCATTTGTATGATGAAAAATACTGAAAAATCTGTTACTGTAATTGCATAGATTCTCTACAGCTGGTTATAAGTAACACATAAAGAATAGATCTAAAAAACAGATACACACAACTATATAAAAAACAGATAAACAACAAGGACCTACTGTAGAGCACAGGGAACTATGTTCAATATCTTGTAATAACATATAATGGGAAAGAATCTGAAAAAAGAATATATATATATGTAAAACTGAATCACTTTGCTATACACCTAAACTAAGGCAACATTGTAAATAAAATAAAATATTAGTTAAAAAAATAATAGATCTAATTAGGTGTGTGTAGTATGTGCTATCTATTCTTTATATAGATAGGTGTTATATGGGATAATTTATATTCATAATAACTAATTGTTATACATTATTGTCTCCTCTATTTATTACCTATATGTTTATATAAATTACATTACCTATGACAAATATTTATAGATATTATATATAAATACATAATAATGGTTATGGTACTCTATAATAATACTACAAATATATTACATTTATAAATAATACTATAAAACCATGGTGATGCTATGATGATGCTGGCAGCTAAGGTTTATTGAGGACTGCCCTCAAGATGCCAAGCACTTTATACACGTTCCCTCATTTGATCTTTACATAAAGTTTGAGGAGGTAATTTATGCCCACTTTACAGGTGAGGGAATTGGGGTCTAATTGTCTAAGTGGAACCCCTAACACATTGCAGCTAGTCAATGGAATCCCTAAAGGTCAAGTCCAAATTCTTGCTCTCAGTATACCGACTCTAAGTACATAAAGTGGGACTGAGGAATTTTCTGGAACCTGTTTTGCCTAAAACATTCACTGTAATTAAAGCTTTAAGACTCACGCCAGGACACTATGAACTCTTCTACAAAACAGAAACAGACTCGCAGACATAGTAAACAATCTTATGGTTACCAAGGAAAGAGTGGGAAGGGATAAATTTGGGAGTTTGAGATCTGCAAATGTTAGCCACTATATATAAAAATAGATTTAAAAAAAGTTTCTTCTGTATAGCACAGGGAACTATATTCAATATCTTGTAATAACCTTTAATGAAAAAGGATATGAAAACGAATGTATGTATGTATATGCATGACCGGGACATTATGCTGTGCACCAGAAATTAACACATTGTAACCGACTACACTTCAAAAAAAAAAACAAAAAAACCCCACAAAAGACTCAAGCCCAGAATGCTGCCAAAGATCAGCAAGTGAGAGGCGGCCAAGACACGTGGCCAGTTTTGGGATTTATCATCTTAAACTCCGCGACGACTTGGTCACAATGAATCTGGGCAATCCTGCAATTAATTATCTGACATAAATGGGAAACAGGTTTTGACAAAACAAACTGAGGCAAACAAAATAGGAAAATATGAAGTCATTCAGCAAGATACTGCCTTCTCAGGGCTTTTCTGGGAGGAGGCAGAGAACGGCACACAGAACGGGAGGCAAGGGAGCATCGAGTGCCTAACGTCGCCGAGAGGACACCACGTGACAGGCACGCTGACCTTCCAGCACCAGCTGCACAGCCTCCTGGAAGCCTGCCTTCTAAGAGGGGTTTTTCCCCTGGGAAGTAGTCTCAGGGAGGATGATGGCTGGTTAGCCAAGGACAAGAGGCAGGGCTGGAGTCGGCACCACTGCCCCACCATTCAACCCAGCGGAGGTCAGCTGTGGGTGGGATTCCCAGGGGAGCGGGGAGGGAGGGTCCTCGAGGCAAGGTGCTACCCAGCCACCTGTGACTCCCCTTCTAGAACATAAAGAACTATAGTGTCTGCTAGAGGCAGCTGTGGTTCTGTGAGCACTGACATTGAGTTCAGGTTCTGCCTCTTTCTCCACCTTGGGACTGAAACCTTGATGTAGCTTAGGTTTCCTCATCTGGAGAATGAGATGGTTTCATTAATTCCGAATATGTTCAAGATAACAATGTTAGCAATATAGCAACAATCCTACTGTTGCTATAACAAATTCCCATGAGCTCAGTGGCCTAAAACACAAATTTTATTGTCTTATAGTTCAGTGGGTTGAAGTCTGACATGGGTCTCAAGGGGCTAAAATCAAGGTTCAGCAGGACTATGTTCCTTCTAGAGATTCTAGGGGAGAATGCCTTTCCCTGCCTTTCCCAGCTTCCAGAAGCCTCCACCAGTGCTTGACTTGTGGCCCTCTCACTGTGACTCTGACACTCCTGCCTCCCTCTTATAAGGACACTTGTGATTACATTAAACCCTTTCAGATAATCCAGAATAACCTCTCTAGCTCAAGATCCCTAACTTAATCACATTTGCAAACTCCTTTTCCATATAAGGTGACACAGCCACAGGTCTTGGGGTTTAGAGCGTGGGCATATCATGGTAGAAGGAACATTATTCTGTTTACTGTAGCAGCTTACATATAGTTTATTTAATTTTATAATATCAATTCTGAGAGCTAGGTTTTTATTAAAATTCATTGGGGGCCTACTATTCATTCACTCATCCACTAATTAACTGACTTGGTTTTATCTCCTCATTCAACAATGACCGTTGTATTGGTTAGTTGAGGACAGGTTTTGATGATGCATTTACCTTGAGAGCCTTTCTATCACATCTAGACAATCCAGTGTAGTCCTTTGCACAGAGTAGAGTAGTTGCTTAGTAACTGTTTTCTATTTATGATGATGGTTATAGTAGTCATTTGACCTGATCACCAATATTCCAGGTCTTCTCTTTTTTCTGGTCACATGGTAGCTTTGTACTTCTCTACCCTCGTTGAAGTTAGGTCTGGTCCTGTGATTTACTCTGGCTGATGAAATGTGAGCAGATACACAGTCGGGTACATTTGAGAGGCTGTGTTGACAGACTGTGTATGGTGTGAGCACACATGGAGATGGAGCCTCCAGCAGTCCAGGTCCACCCACCCAAACCTGCCTTGAGCACAGAATTCAAGCAAAAAATAAAGCTCTGTTACGCTAAGTAGCTGAAATCTTGGGGTTGTTTGTTACTACAGCATAACCTATCACATTCTGACTATTACAGCATTCACGCGCCCTGCTCCATTCCTGTAGAAGTGAAACATAAAGACCCAACTGTACTTCAGGCAGATCTGTAGGAAGGAGATGAAACTTGAAGAAAGAAGAAGGAAGGCCTCTTCCACTGCAACCCCCATTTCTACCCCAGCTTCCACATTTGATCTCCAAGATAGTTCCTTAGAGTTGACTTTACTATTTTCATTTGACAAATAAAGAGACCTGCACTTAAAGATGCTTAAGAACTTGAAAAAGTCCCACAGCTGATAAGTGATACAACCAAGTCGCAAACCTAAAACTCTATTTGAAAGCCCCCTTTCAGTTACAACCTCCCCAGCACTGAGAAGTACAGGGTGAGGCAGGACCCAGTACTTGTCACACTGCTTGTCACATCCCACGATCTATGGGCAGAAAACATGCTGCTACAGAAACAGGATGGCTACAGAAACAGTGGGATGGTCCCTGTCTAAGCCATTACCTTGTTCTCCTTCATCAATGCCTCTTCCACCGCCTGACGACTGTATTCTCCAATGTACCATTCATTGTGCTGGACATCCTGCAGGACAGATTAAGTGATGAATATCTTAGGCTCAAAGGGAAGGAAGGATTAATGATTAATTAATTAAAATTTACTTTTGTTCCACCAGTGCCAAATCACAGTTGGACTCATAGCAGCTATGCAGTACAAAATTTCCGTCCCTGAATATCGAGATGGACACAGAAAAAGTAGCAGCAGCTTAGGAATCATGAAATTGGCATGACAAAGTCTGTCTGTCCTTGAAAGGAACCGGAAATGTCACTCCATCTCCTGAGAAAGGTGCTTTGGCTCCACACTCAGAATGGGTCATAAACCTATCTATTAGTGCTTTCTGAATCTGTACCTGCTGAAGCTTCCCGAGGTGGGGTGTTCATTGTTTATGAAGCCTCTAAGAGGCCATAGTCATCATAAAAACAGCAGGGGAGGGGACGACAGGTGCAGACTGAGAGCATCTTTATACCAGTTGCCTAAAGTCACATGTGGTAGGACTGGGATTCGAACCCTAGCTGTCTGCCATCTACTTTATTTACACTCATTTATTTCTTTTGTTTGTAAAATCTACCATGACAGAGAGGAAGGAAGGGAAGTCAGAGAGATGCACCATGGATCTGCAATTCCTTTACCAAGTTTCAAGGATAATAATATTGATTCAGCCCCTGAATGGATCCAACAGCCCCAAGGCCCTTCCTCATTTATTGTCCCAGTCCACATCTGCAGGAACCTTGTGATGCAGGCATTGCCAGGACAGTGGAGGCTCAGGAAGCCAGCTTCGGTCCCGTGGTTGGCAAGAACCAGGGACGCGGCATCAGGGCTTTGTGCTCTCAGTGTGAGTCCCTGGTCCTCCCAGCGCCGGATACACCAAGCATGTGTGAGCACCACTCAGAAAGGCATGGGCTAGCTTCACCCTACCTCTCCAGCCTCACTTCCCGCTCCCTGCGCCCAGTCTGAGGACACGGGCATAGCACGCCGTTTGCCGTTGTCTGGACGCACAGCGTCAGGACTTGGCATGAGGAGCCCCGCTTCCTGGAATCCCCCTGCTCCTCACTCTCTCCTCCTACCTGACTCTGCTATTCTCCATCAAGTTCGGGATCAAAGTCATCTCTTATTGGAGGCGTCCTTTGCAGTGAATACCTTTGCCTAGTCCCTACCCCCAGGGAAGGTCCAGAGGCAGGACTGGCTCTGCTCCATCCCAGTAAAGCCCGGAAACAGGCTCCAGAAACAAAGGATGCCCCAGAGCCCCACCTCCCTGCCGAAGAGTGAGCTCTCTGTGCTCAGAGTGGTCTGCTGCTTCTGGGGAGCCTCTTGGCCCGCCTGGGGCTTTGACAAGGCGCAGTCACGGTGCGTTCCGTCTCCTCTGATTTTATTCACTTGTTCAGGCTGGAAGACGCTTAAAGATTTAGTAGCCCCGTGGTCCTCCAGGGGTGGTCATGGGTGCTGGCTGGCATAAATGACTCGGAATTACCTGGGGGCAGGAATCGTCCCCTCACGGTTCTCTTTCCAGCCCTTTGAATAACTCAAGAGGACTGCTTCATTCTGATGCTAGTCTGCCCTTACCACCTCCCGGGCACTCCCCCGCTCCTGTGGCAGAGGGGCAGCCCTTGCACTGAGATCCCCTCACGAGCGACGGCGTCCTGCTACAAGTTAATAGCCTTGTTTTGTTGGTGCTACAGCGAGACTTCTAAAAAATGTGGTGAGATACACACACCAGAAGATTTACCATTTAACCATTTTCAAATGTACAAGGCAGTGGCATTGGGCACACTGCTTTGCTTTGGAGCCGTCACCCCTACCCATCCAGCTGCAGGATGCTTCCATCATCCCAAATGGAAACTCCATACACAGCGAACACCGACTCCCACTACCTCCGCCTCCAGCCCCTAGTCACCACACTCTGCTTTCTGTCTCTGTGAATTGACCTAGTCGACTCTCATGTAAGTAAAACCATATATTCGCCCTTTGGCCTCGGGCTTATTTCACTGAGCATAATGTTTTTAAGGTTCTTCTACGTGTCAGAATTGCATTTCTTTTTAGAGCTGTGTTACTACGTTTTGTGTCTCCGTTTATCCGCTGATGGACATTGGGGTCGTTTCCACAGCTTGGCTGTTGTAAATAGTGCTGCTATGGACAAGAATGTGCGAATGTCTGTTCGAGTCCTTCCTTTCATTTCTTTCAGGTGTATCCCTAGAAGGGGAAGGCTACAGTTAGTTTTAAGGTTGCTTTCTACCTACGGTATGTGAATGCTGGTTTTCTGTGTAGAGCAGCCACACAAAATGAAAAAGGAGTTAACTAAGAATATTGATAAATATAACATTATTATTGATGCTGCGTGGATATGTCACAGAACACGAAGGTGAATTCAAATAGTTGAAATCAGGCAAATCCTGCGTTAGTGTAAACCTCTCCCACGCCCAGGAATCCAGGCTTTTGGAGGGGCCTGATTTTGTGTAGGCGTGTGGTGAGGACCCGGGGATTCCAGTGTTTACGAAGGAGATGACGGAGGGGAGGGGAGCCAGGTGCAGAAGGAGGGGCAATCAAAGAATTATGTGCAAAGACTTCCCAATGTCTTACTTGAGAGTGGAGGACTTCTTTTGGAATTAAGGTCAAATTAAATAATACAAATATAAGAACAACAAGTGACCTTTAGGATAGCACAGGAGGTACGAGAAACTGACCAGAAATATCCCACACGTCCTGCTTCTGCTTAAAACATTCTGTAAGCTCTGCTGCAGGCCCCTGAGCATGTGAGGCCATGGGATGGAGACCCAGAGGAAGCGTGTCCTTCTGTGCCTTATAGTCAAAGACACTAATAAGTAATGTCGAAAGGTGATGGAGGAAGACACACGGAAGAGACAAAGAAAATTTCATCCTCCCATATAGGCAAATGTAAGTGCAACATGATCTGAAAAGAACTGATTGTCAGGATGGAGAATATTTTAGAAAGGGACCAGGAAGTAGATGAAGGACAAGCAAGAATACATCTATTATCTGTCTGCGTCTCTCCCCTCTTTACGCCTCCTCTGGGGCAGGGACCATAACTTCTAGCACCCTGTCCGATATACAATAAGTGCTCAACACATGCTTGGCAGACTGTTCAAGCGTAATGAGCATACGACATGTGAATATTTTGTTGGAAAAACAGTTGCAATATGTAAATCCTCATTAATCCTGAAAGATGACTGAATAGCCAATAAATACAAACCAGTCCTAAATATCTCTATGTTTTTTTGGATGAATTAAAAATAAAGCACTTTGAGAATCTGGAAATATGTAAGCTAAAGAAGCCAGTGAAATGGCAATATAAAATGTCATACAGCAAAATACTTTAAAAATATTAAAATCCAATAATATATGGCCAGAAAGGGGCGGGGGAATCAAAGCCAATCAAAACGACCACCTCTTAGGCGTTGTTCAGTAAAGCTTTCTTTAGAGTCTAAATTCCAGAAAATATTGGAGGGCAAAAAAAAAAAGGTTGCAAATCCAGAAAATCTAGAAAAATATTGCAGAGAAGCATCTGTTTTTACCTTTTCATCAGACCTCGCAGGGAAAGGTTTCTTCCAGCTTGCGTTTTTATAGTGTGGGGAGTGTTCCTGAGGGCCGTGGCTGGCTGGAAACGGGCATCTCTGAGGAGGGCAGGACTGCGTGCTTTCTCTATGATCTGGGGGAAGTAAATTCACATTGAAACATGATGTGTTACTGTCTCAGATTGCCTGCCTGCAGCGAGGGGCCAGAACGCATCACTCTCTCCTGCGTCTGTGGCGGCCTCTTGGTCTTCACCACCAGCATCTCACCCTGGACAGCAGTCTCCTCTGGACCGTCCTCTAGCTTCAGCTTTTGTTTCCATCTCTCTGGGCATCCAGAGTAATCTTTAAAAAATGTAATTCTGGCTTTGCTACCCCCTGGGGACAAAGCCTTCCGCGATTTCCTTTACACTCGAAAGAAAATCCGAATATTTTAAAGTCTGTCAATAAGGCCCCGGATAATCTTTCTCTTCTTATTTCTCCATCTGCCCCCTACACTGTCCACTCTGTTCTGACTGCAAAGAACTCTGCTCAGTTTTTGAAACAAGCCAAGTTTGTTCCCAACTCAGGACACACCTTTTTTAAAAAAATGTTAAAGAGTAACTTTTTGTTTTTCTGGAACATCTCTTTTTTAACCTGAAAGAATGACTGGCAGACAAACTCTGGTTATTCAGACTTGGGCATCTGGCAGACACTTTATTAAAAATGAACAACGTGGGCCTGTCACTGCATGGAAAATAACTGATGGTATTTGTTGCCAGTTTTAAAATTAAACTTCTCAAGTGTACACTGGAATTTGGAAATACTTATATGTGCCACTGTGACGTAACCGCATAGCCACAGTTCGCCTTTTCTGATGAGATCCGAGGTGTTACTTGCAAACGTGATTTTAAAAACTATTACATAATAAGTCAACATGGGAAAGATCTGCGCAGGTCTATGAATCGCTGTTTCCCAAGGGACTAATGTATCATGTTACAAAACTGTGCCTGAGTAAAAGATTCTTTAAAAGAGAAGATAGATCAAGTGATCGTAAGTAACAGGATACAAAAAATTCACTGGAAAGGTTTTGATTTCATATGGTGCCTAAGCTCTAAGCCACTACTACTCGTCAAGTTTTGACGTGGCACTTTCTCTATATACTTCAGTAAAAAGAACATATTTCCATTGTGTCATTCCCATAAATATTAATAAAAGATGAATTTCAAGAAATTAGGGCCACAAGGAAGGAGTGAGGTGTTAGAAGGAACACTAAACAAAGATACTCACAAATATGTTAGTAATTTTAAGCAAGGATTAACTGTGTAAAAGTTATAAAGCCTTGAGGATATAAAAACAATACCAAAATAAAATACTGGACAATAATAACATATAAAATGGACATGAGTTGATTAACGTAAAGGCAGAATTATAAGCTATTTTGTCTTAATTCAGTCTAGCAAACATAACAAAACTTACAGGTCTGGTCAGCAGCTTCTCAAGAACTTTGAAAGAACAGGATGCTTTTCACACACTATATTTTTGAGGCAAAATACTAAATAAAACATTGGCAAATATTTATAAGCCAGTTACCATAACGCTTAAGTTATATGTGTATTTATTTTGCTTTTTGTCATCCAAATACCACATTTCTCTCTAGGTTTACTAGGAAGAGCTAAGAGTTTTCCTGAAACATTGGAAGTTGTATTTTAGTGGTCCCAAGGATTGTGGCTTTTAACGGTGAGCCTGAGAGTGTTATAGAGAATGACATGTGTCAAAATGTTTGTTGCAGAAAAGTGTTTGACTACTTAAAGTTTAAATTACATCCATTGTAGTAAGTTAATTTCGTGCACCAATTTATGACTAAGAATAGGAATAACGCTAAAGACATCTCTGCTTTTCAAATTCTATATTATCGGTAAAAGATCACTACCTCCAAACAGTGCAGAGTCTGTGTCGTCAGAACAAAAGCATCCTAAGTTTTTTTTGTATTTTGGGGAAGGGGATATGAACCCTGTGAGTTAATATTGTCATTTGAATTTTATGAATAGGGGATGGTGATGCTCCAAGAATCCCCTTGCTCACGCTGACCCTACGTGGAGAGAGGCAGAGCTGGGCGAGGTCAGTAGAGCCCCCCGGCCTTTCCACTGTATCCCACGCGGTCTGCTTCCTCCAGCCCCACGCCCTCTCTGGTGGCTCAGCAGAGAGAGATTAATAAAGCATTAGATCTGAACACACAATCTCCATGGCATAGCGAGTGAAGCGAGAAAGACAAAAGAACATGACAAATCTGGGCAGTTTGGGCAAAATAATACTAACAATATCAAAATCCACCATCCACAGTAGTAGATCACTACACTTACATGCTGCTTCAGGTATCTCCATGGACCTGGTAGCCTTCTGATTTTTATCTTCACAATCAATTAGTAAGAGAGGCTAGTTTTATTTTCTCCATTTCAAAGACTTTTTTTTTATAGTTTTAAGCCTATTTCTTTTTTTTTAACTTTTTTTATTGAGTTATAGGCATTTTAGAGTGTTGTGTCAAATTCTAGTGTAGAGCACAATTTTTCAGTTATACATGAACATACATACATTCATTGTCACTTTTTTTTCTCTGTGAGCTACCACAAGATCTTGTATAGATTTCCCTGTGCTACACAGTACAATCTTGTTTATCTTTTCTACATATGCCTGTCAGTATCTGCAAATTTTGAAATCCCATCACAGACTTTTCTTAAGCTGAATCTATTTTATACTCAGTGGGTTGGTAATAGCTAAACATTTGTCAAAAACAACTGTTGGAGAAGATGGGGAACCTTGGGGCCTCATAAGCTGTTGGTGAAATGAAGTGATGTGTCTACTTTGGGAAATGCATCTAGTGCAAATGAAGAGAGGAATATTCTAAGATCTGGGCGTTCACTCTTAGAAAGAGCACTTATATTACATACTTGGGAAACATGAGCATCATATATGCATGGGAAGACAGCTACAATCTTGTTCTTAACAAACTAATATTCCCAAGAGAAAGAAACTGGAAACCACTTAAGTGATCATATTTAATTATGGATAAAATGTATGTTCTATTAACATGACAATGTGTTATCTACCAATGAAAACAAGCCAAATATACATTTATACACATCAGCTCAGCGCCTCCGAGGCTCAGACAAGCTAAGCCACAGTGCAGGTACATCGTAGTGTGATGACTTACCTGCTTATTTTAGAATTCTTCCGAAAAGGGTTCTTACCTCTGCTTTGTAAGCTGTGGTTGCGTGTCATGAATGAGGAGCTGAAGGAAACGTTACAGTTGAAAGAACGTTAGTATTTCCCATTGCCAGGTCAGTGCTCATGGCCCCCGTCACATTGACGGAGCACTTCATATGTTATTGGATGAGCCAGAAGAATCCTCTGTTTTGTAAAGTGACAGAAGGCTGGTTCATTCCTTTCTCAAGACAGTCAAACATCAAATATGGAACAAATTGACCTATCTAAGTTCTTCCCATATTACTTTAATGAGGCCATGGGTGTAGACCTGCCTCATAGGTACAGTCACTGTAGAAAATGCCACGTGACTGACTGGGATCCTACGCTGTAGTAATTGTTTACCGATTGAAGGAGAGTCAGCCACAGCAAGGAAGACGAATACAGAGTATATTTTATTCCTTTTAAAATTATGAGCTAGGTGAAAAGAAACCTGTGTGGATTATTATAAGGGAATCCATAAAGAAAGAGGAATTGTAAAAATATAATAAAAGACAATAACACAGTATGCATTTTTATGCATAACAGTAACGATGTTACCAAGACTGCTCACCGACGTCTCAAGTTAGCACTTCACTTCCTGTTAAGCCTTGTGCAACACTGCTCTGGTCTTCTGGTTCACTTTGCACTGTGGTCAGCGCCGTCATTATAAACTCTAGGGGCCACTACAGTTAAATCTAATTACATGGAGCGTGCTCTGTGTTGTGACTGAAGCAAGCCTCTGGGTTAATTCAATGCAATCTAGCCCTTTTCCAGCACCGAGGAAATCAACTGAGCATATAGCTGGTTTTTGCTATATCTACGTGGTAGCCGGGGGTCTTATGACTTGCTTCGTAGATAAAAATGCTATTAGATCATTGAACCTCCATGCTGTGTTGCCATCACTGGTCAGACTTCCACTGACATCTAAGCCTTCAATTCTGTTAAAACTAAGATCCTCTTACTAGGAGTCAGTGTACAGTTTTTGTTAAATGTCTGGGAAAAAATCATGGATAGCAGAATTTCGCCTCCCTAACTTTGGGGGCATTTTTAGAAAATGTCAAGAGAATAGGACTTTCCCCCGAGGATATTCTCAGTCTCAAGGACAAATAGAAATGATGATTCTCTCGCTTTGCAAACATGTACTGAGCACTTATTAAGTGCATAGTCTGTTTGGGGAAATACCACATGAATAAGACATGGCCTCTGCTCTGAAGTAGCTTCATTTATGGAGGGAAGACATGACTGGACCATAATCACAATGTGGGATAAATGTCATGATAGATCCTGTGGCAGCAGAAGAAAGTCGCTTGATTCAGAGAAAGTTGGTTTGGTTGTCAGAAAAGTCTTCCTGGAAGGAACCATACCACAATAAAAGGGTTTAAAAAATAAATTAAAAATTAAAAAACCATCTCTTCATCCTTAAAAAAAAAGTCTTCCTAGGAGATACCCTAGCTAAGCTGACTTCTGAAAGGTGAATAGGAGATGGGTGAGGTGTAAGGGTGTGTTCCACGCAGAGGGAACAGCAGGTGCAAAGTCTCAGAGGCAAGAAAGCATGGCTTATTCTGCAAAAGGTCAGAAAGTAGTTCCTTGTGGGTGGAAAGTAGGGTATGGAGACGTTCAGTATCATTAGAAGCTGACTGCAGTAGTTCAGACAAGGGTTGATGGCGGGTGGTCTATGTCAGGAACTGGAGTAATGAGTAGAAATGAATAGATTTAAGACATGTTTTGAGGTAGAATTTTGGGAGTTGGAAAAGGATTGGATGGGAAGAGTGAAGATGGAAAAGAGAGTATTTACTGAGGTGAGAAAGTTTGTAGGAGGGAAGTGCTGGTTTGGGAATGAAAGTAGAGATGGAGAGTTCAACTTGAACATTATGTATATGAGATGCCTGTGCCCTCTTTAAGGAAAACTGCCCAGTGGATAATTCAATACGTGGGTTCAGAGTTAAAAAGGGCAGTTAGGGCAGAAGATACAGGTTTAGTAATTATCAGTATAGAGTTGACATTTGTCACTGTGAAGATGGATGGATTTCTTACACCCTTACTGATAGAAAAAAGGACCTTGGAAGGCTCTGAGGAATACCAACATTTAGAGGTCAGTTTGGGGAAAAGTACAAAGAGGGGACCTGGAAGAAGCAACATTTAAGAGAGGGAGAAAATTCAGGAGACTTTGTTCATTAAATTCAACAAACAAATAAACAAACAAACAGTAGAAGCCAAATCACATTGAACAAGTACTACACATGTGTGTCCAACTGAAAGCTCATTATCCTCTCACTACAGTGTGATGGTTTTTTTCCCCCTTTCAGAAAACTTCATTAAGAAAGAGTGTTTCTTGTATGGGCAAGGGTTTTTTGTGTCAGATTGGGCCTTACACAGAAAACAGCCTGATGAGAGTTACAAAGCCACAGCCCTAATACTCAGACCAAAGAGTGAGAACAGTGTCACTGGAGGAGTGAAACAGGACAAGAAAGTGAGGGTGGGGAAGGGCACAGGGGCCGGAGGCCCCACCCCCGATGCGCGGGGCCTGCCGATGGCAATGAGAGTGATGGTTAGCGGGCACTTGGAACAGGCCTAGCTCTGCACTCAACTTCACACACAAGATAAGTGGTGCTGCCCAAGGTCACATGGTTTGCTAGCGAGGAACCCAGTCTGACTCCTGGGGGTCCCTCCTAACCGCAATTCTGTTCCATCACTAACAGAGTATATGTCCGGTAATACTTACTAAACAAATAAAAGAGCATCTTAACTGGGGCAGGCGCCAAGGAAAGTCAAGATTCACGGGTTGCGTTTTTAGAATCAAGTCAGGATGAATGCTATGGACTATTGAAAAGTGGAGTTGGACTGATTTCAATGGGCAGGGACTCAGCCTCTCTGGGCCTCCTTGATTCCCTCTGGGGGATGGGTCAGAACTATCTCCTGGATTCAGGGTGTCTTTAAGCTGAGGTCTGATGGATAAAGAGGAGTTTTCCAATTAGGGAGAGGGTAGAGAGAGGGAAATGGGGGAGGGGAAGTGTTATAGGCAGAGGAATAACACTTGCAAATGTCCTGTGATGGTGGCGGGGGAGGGGGGCAATGGAGACTGGGAAGTGGGAGAGTGGCATGAACTGAGGCTGGAGAGACTGGCCAGGCTGGGGTCATGAGGGTTTTATGGCACTGATTTTGGAGGCTCTCCATGTTGTTTTAAGGAAGCCACCCCTAATTCACATGACCTTGGCCAATGAATCACCAGCCTGAGCCTTATTAGCTTCCTTGACTCTTCTGTTGGGATGACAGTTGTCACAATAACCTGATCAGGCAAGTATTTCATCAGATAATGGGTGTTTTCAACCCCTGGCCATTCATAAAATGCTATTCAAAAGTCACTGTCGGCTTCCATGTGATCATCAGCTGAGACTCGTTAGAAACGCCGACTTTTCTTCCCAGGTTGATTTGCCTCAGTTCCAGTTGATCCTATCTAGTTAATATTCAAGTCTTTAAATCTCCCAAATGTCCCTAACAAGCAACCAATCACTTATAAAGTGTAGAAATAGCAATGCTATTATCGTCAACAACAACCGTGATTCACAGGTCTCCCTGGGGCCTCGTCACTGAGCTTCGTTACCAAAGGCAAAAGATGCTCTTTTTCTCAGGAAGCCTTAGTGAGTCATTATTCCAGACAACACGTGGCTTGCCCCCCAGGCTGGGACCCAACAAGGGATTCCTGGCTCCTTACCTGGCAACGGCAAGAGGAATCTCTTGAGTACTTTGATTTTGTGACAGATGAGATGATTCAGGCTTCATCTGGTGGTGAGGAACTGTGTAAAGGCATCACATAATTTGATCAGATTGCAAAAGAGAAACAATTGGGGGCCATTAGAGGTCTCTTGGAACTGCTATAATCTCCTCCAAGAAGTCTCTGATTATTAAGAGTGGTCTGTTGATGGTCGGTGGAAACTGTAACCCACATGTTCTACAAGGACCCTGGCTCCAGGGAATGGCCCCTCCCTGAGACTATAAAAATTGCTTTGAATGATGAATATTCAACAAGTTTATCAAAAATATTAAATCTAGAACTCATCGTCGAGCTTCCCAAAATATAGAATGTTACCTTGGAAGGCATTTGGTTTTGGAAGGGCTGAAAGTGGAAGTAGACTGAAGCTGGATTCTGCATTCAAATGAGAACTTACATAGAAGCATAAACAGAAAAGTTGAACTTAAGAACTATTCTGAGCAATGCAGGGTATGGGGACACCTGACACTGTCCCATGCACACCGGAACCCTCCAATCTCTCCTGTGAGAGGGCGGGAGAGTGCCCAGGATTCTGATGTAGAGCAGAGGCTCCCACCTGGTTCCCACCTGGTTCCCACCAGGCATGCATTTTCTCAGTTCTTCCCTCCTGACCTCCAAGTTTTGAAAAGTTTTGCCAACCTTACGAACCGGACTTACTTAGTAATTACATATGTCATTGGTGTTACCACTTTGTATTTCCTTTTCATCATGGACAGATCTTAACCAGCCATCCAGAATCACCAAGGGCACATAATAATACTATGATATGAAATCCCATAAAACACTCTCCCAGTTACAGTTGTAAGTTATAAAGTTAAGGAAGCCTCAACACGAACTCATGTTAGTTTTGGTTGTTACTCTGTGCTCTGTCCAAGCCTGATCACAAACCAGACAGCTGTGACGGAAGGACTGTGACTACCTGAAATGGGATTGGAGTCAGTGACTAGACCACTAGTTTCACGTCCTTCAGGTCATTTCAAGTCATCAACAGCCACCCCTCTGAGCTGAACAATGTCACATCGTGGCATTGATAGTCACTGAAGCCTGAGGCAACAACTTCTGAACATTCAGTTAGGAATTTGAGATTTATTGTGGAAAAGGGCACAGTTTTCTTTAGATTTTAAAATTGTTGAGAGTTGCCACCAGACCCTTACTCCATCAGAAACCCTTGGGAAGCCACAAGCCCAGGTTAGGCCCCCAATGAAGTCTAACTTTCTCAATAAAAAGAAGAGCAGACTTGAGACTCACAGAGGGAGAGCAGGTGAGCATGAAGATATCACCTGATTAGCATCCTGCCAGCTAGCAAGTGAGTGTTGGATTGCATGTTTCCACAACAATGGCACCAGCAGTGTGCACACATGCACGTATGCGTGCATGCATGAGGGCTTACGTGTGTGTGCATGGGTGACATCAAAGACGGAGAGACCAAGAGCTTCTCTGGAGCCGGGGGCCAGCAATGTCCTTCCAAAGTGGCAAGGGGTGACAGACAGTGTGTCCCCTTGTGGCTGAAGAAAGATCTCCAGCCTATCCCCAATTTAAATCACCCTGTTTAGACCACAGGACTCTTGAACAGACTCTGAGGTCCCGAATCCATCTGGATCACGTCATCATGCGCGCACGCACACACACACACATACACAAACACACACGCCTGTACACCCTAGGCCCTGAAACAAGTAATCCTTTAAAAAATGACTAGTGCTGTAAACGCGGGAATAGAATTTAACTTCATGATATTAGGAGAAGAAGCAAATGCAAACAGTTCACCTTTTTCTGTTCCGAGGACCTGTATTGAATCAAAAACAAATAATGTTGAGTGACTTTTAGTGACAGAGAATTTGACTTTATAGTGTGTGTGTCTTTGGAGCAATTGGTTAGTAGAGTTTGGGCAATATTTTTATTAGTACAGATTTAAAAAAATCTACAAATAATTCTCCAAAAGACTAAGCAAAAGTCAAAATTTTATGCTCTTTATGTGATATAACAGGCAAATATACAGTCTGCAGATGGGACTATAAATTGCTTTGACTCTTTGGGAAACCAGTTTAACCATAGCGATCCAGGGCCTTAGAAACACTCTTAATTTACCCCAATGATTCAGTTGATGAGATCCTTTTTCTAAGACAACAGCCTGAAATCTAGGTCACGTTCCACATGCAAAGATGTTCAGTACATCATCACTCATAATGTCAAAACGCTGGAGACAATCTTCACGACCTAAGAGCTAAGTCATTCTGGAGCTGTACTTACTTACTGTAATACAATAAATGCATTGCAGGTACTTATGTGGAATATGGGATAAGATTATACTATGTCTCAAAGTCACATGAGAAATTCAGGATAAAAACTGGGCTCATGACACATTTACAAGCAAGAGTATGTGCGTGTGTGTGTATGTGTGTATGTCGAAAAAAGATGTTGAACATATGATAAAATATTAATAAAGGTTGTGTTTAAGTGATGAGAGCTACAGTTAATTTTCTTTATACCTGTTCTAGAATTTTTATTTTAAAAAATTAACATGAAAACGTTCACATTTTATCCTCCCAAACATTTCCATTCTCTTTCTTTCCTTAACTGGTCAGAATTCCTGATCATTTTTCATCATGAAAGTCTATGTGCACATGGGCCTTGCATCCTTGAGCCCTGTTATGCTCTTGAAGAATCGAAACGCCTTGCAAGAAGGACAGTATTTGCTGAAGTATTTTCTTAACTGCAAATAATTTTCCAAAGTCCATTTCATGCACTGTGTCTGCTCCGGAGGCCCATGGGTGTCATTTGGACAAGGGCTTCTTAACTCGCAGGATGGAAGGGGTCCTTGGATGGCCTAATGGGGTCTATGACATTGCTGAAATTAAAAGCCAAATTTTTTTTCCCTTTATAAATACGTACATTTTTTTCAGGGTGAGGAAGTTTCATTATAACCTTTCATCAAATTTTCAAAGTTGTCTGAGCTCCATGAAAAGTTGCAACCAGTGGCTTGCAGAGGAGGGCCACAGGGGTGGGGCCGCTCACCCAGGTTCCCACAGTTATCTTGTGGCTGAGCTTGTCCTGGAGCCCAGGTCTCCAGACTCACTCTGGCTTCGTAGACAAAAAACCTTTATCAACAAATAGCTCAGAGAGGCATCGTCCATCTCCTCTGAGGCTAGCCAACAGACAAGCCCTTTTGTTTCAAAGGATTTGGCGTCCCCCAGGATTCTGGAAAGAGGACGTACATTTCATCGTGGACAGCAAATCAAGGCAAGTCCATAGGCTAAGTGAAAAGCGTATTGAATGAATCCCTTCTTGTGAGTGGTTTGAAAGTCCCCCTCACTGAGTTCTCCCCAGGACTTTGAACCTAGCAGTTCAAAGTGCCCCATCAGTTGTGGCTGTGGTTCTCAGGCTTGTCAAAGGAGGGGGAACGCCTTGCTGTAAATACAGCTGAGAAGCCATCTGTCTGGGGGAGCGGTTGTTTGATTTAATTGAGATCCAGCCAAGTTTTGCTTGAGGGCTCTGAATTTAAAATCAAATGCAATTAGAGAAGTGGAGTGAAATCTCCCTCATTTCTTTAACTTTTTTTGTTAGAAAATGAACATATTCAAGTTAAATACTAAGGCCTTCTTTATTACTTCCCACCACCCCTCCCTCCCATCCTTTCCTTCCTTGCTGTATTCGTTCTTCTTTTTTTCCACTGTTTTTCCTCAGGGGTGTCTCGGTGTTTTGCAGGGCAGAGTCAGCAGGATGGGGAATAGACTGGGACTTCGGGCTTTCCGTGGTGGCCCTGTCTTCAGCCGCTGTGAGAGCTCTGGGAAGTCTTACCCCTTCTCTGAGGCTTCTTTTTCTCTTCGGGTTTTTTGTTTGTTTGTTTGAGAATTAAAGGGGGCAATAAGTTTCTGCTTTCTTTGAAAACTACAAAGTGCTATGTGAATTCGAGTTGGGACATCGTTTTTGTTGGAATGGGTTCTGGTCCCCAAGATGTAATGTGAGCGAGCCCTGAACATTTACACAAGCATGGCGTGTGTCCCATGAGATGGGCTTTTGGACTGGGGAGTGACCTTGACCCTCGGCCAAACAAACAATGAGGACGTGTCTTGGCAAATGACAAGGAGGAAGAATTTGTTTTTCCACTAGGCCTTGCTGTACTTTAGAGGATATCAACTTCTAGCAGAATGCCAACCAAAGTCGCCAGAAAAACAAACAGTCCTGCATGGTGCCTGCTGTCTAAGGCTGGCTGCCCCCATTTCCTTCTTGCTTGTTTGTGACTGGGGGGCCTATTGTCCTTTGAGACGGACCAATGACATATGGATGTCGGTCATCTTGAGTGGCAGCCTGCTTAGGCTACATAAATCTGACCTGCAGGAAGAAAGTGGTGGAGCCCCTTTAGGTGTGTGGATTCCCCTAGCAGCAGAGGATGCCCCCACCCACTGGCTTTCTCCTTCCTGGTGGCACTGGGAAGTCCAACAATGCCCAGAAGAGAATGAGCCGGGTGAAGTCTTGAATGGAGCCTCTCATTCAGCAGTCATGTGTTTTCCTCCTTGACATGACGGTCTTACAGATTGGAGGTAATAAATGTCTTGTTTGGAGGACAAGCTAGGAATGTGTCTTTTAATTTTAACATTCTCGTAACTCCAAAAAGAAGGAAAGAAGGAAAGAAAGAAAAAAAGAAAGAAAGAGAAGGATGGAGGTAAGGAGGGAGGAAGGAAAGAAGAGAGGAAGAAAGAAAAAAGAAAGAAGAAAGAAAGAAGAAAGAAAGGGAGGAAGAAAGAAAGGGAAGGAGGGAGGAAGGAAGGAAGAAAGAAAGAAAGAAAGATACTGTATGACCCAGGAATCCGGCTTCTGGGCTTATATCCAGAAGGAACCCTACTTCAGGATGACACCTGCACCCCAATGTTC